TATGCCCATAACGACCTGTCGTAAACGTACTTAATTATAAAAGGAGGCATTGTGCCTCCTTTAACATGGATACATCGTCGTACTTAGTTGAAAAGCAGGAAAAGGAGGCATTCTGCTTCCTTTTATCGCGAAAGGGTTAAGTGCCAGAAACAGGCATAAGAATTAACATTATAGATTTTAATATGGCCCACCTGTCAAAAAGGAGATCCGTTCTAGAAGCGTTAAAATCATGATATTTTTGTATAATTCTCCGTTATAGCAAATATCCACTACTAAACCGGCATTATCTGTGAAAGAATTGAGAGTTTACAAACGAAGGTTGGTGTCGATATCCGCAGATGAATAGAAACACGACAGTGAGATAAACTAAGTTAGATGTGCTAGTCCTGAGTGTTTCATCCTACACATGCAGTTCTCCTAGTACCCACTTGCATGTTTTCCTCTTCGCATACAGTTAAGTATAGCGGAGCAGGGAGGTTTTCTGGAACAGGGAAATAAAAACAAAACGCGTATACAAACACGAATCACGAAACAGAGAGAATATCTTGCAACATTGAGATATCCGCGTCGATGCACGTGATTATACATGCAAACCCCTACGCGTATGCAATTCCAATCCGCATGGCCCAATGAGGTCGCAACATTTGCCTCACTTAAACTAAAGTGCCGCATGGCACAAGTACGGCAGTTTGCACAGGCTGCGATAGGTAACCAGTCGAGTAGACAGGGATGTGCAACCACAACATCCACACTCACTTTGATATCTGGATCATGGTACAATGTTTCTGTGCGTCATCGAGTAGTGTAGCGTCATGGATGAAAGGACTGTCGTCACGAAATCTGCAAGTTGGGTTTTGGACTTCTCATAGGCCAGGATATCTTGACCACTTCCAACCTTCTCGCGAATGAAATGATTGCAAATGTCGGTGCGCTTGGGGCAAGCTTGATATCCACCGTTCTTGCTAATGCCATGACACCTTGGTTGTCCGCGAAGATCCCTGTAACCACTCGTTGGTCTACCAATATCCATGAGTAGACTATACATCTACATCATCTCATAGAAACACTTTCTAGGATCTATGTAGCCAGCCTCAGTTGTAGACAACGGTCTTCCGTCATACCAAGGAAGCGCCTCCCAGCATGATTTCCACGCACCGATCGTCGGTCCAAACGCAGTCTATATTCGAGTACGCGGCGAGCTCAGTTCCTTGGCGTCCGCCGTACATGATGCACACATCCTTGGTCTTCAACAGATAGCGAACGACCCTGATGCTCGCGTTCCAGTGCTTCTGTCTAGGGTT